CCTACACTCAAGTCCAAAGCTGACAGTGTACTGCAAAGGGAAAATATCTGCTATGAAGACTGACTCTAGGTCTAATCCTAATTTTACCACCAGCTATGTGATCTTGGATAAAGTATTAACCATTTGAATTTTAAGGAATTCACCTGTCAATAAGGGTTGTAAACTTGTACTGAAGGAGTATTTTTATGAGTATCATATATAACTTCCTTATAATACAACCAGCACATGCACATGACAACCTGCTTCTTTCTGCCTACTTTCCCAGTTATACTGCTGTGACCTCGCTTGGGATTGTATTGTCTCTAATGTAACTTTCTGTACATCAGCCTCTGCATTTACTGCTGACTTCCAACCCTTCTCTTTTCCCACCCATTCCAAATGCTTCTTCTATCTGGTAAGCTTCATTAAGCCTAGATCCTCATCAGTTTCTAGGGAGATTAAACCCCTCTCAGATTCCTTCACTGTCCCCAGATATAATTAAATATTTACAATGCATCTGAACTGTCTATATAGGACAGAAAAGTGAAGCATCTGAGGCCAGAGGCTGCTGATCCTGGGGCCCCTCTGCTTATCAACTCTCACTTCAGTCCATTGGGATTGAGCTTGGTATTCTTTTCTTGTTATGATATCAGACAAGAAGCAACTTAAGGGAATAAGGACTTGTGGTTTGGTGGTTTACTCAATCTTGGTGGGAAAGCATACTACCAGGAGTTTGAAGAGGCTGGCCACATGTCTGCAATGTAGAAAGTGAAGGCAACAAGAAGTGATAAAAGTCTGTAAAACCTCAAAACTTAGTACTAGTTCCCTATTTCTGACAGCTAGGCTTCACCTCCTAGAGGTTCTGTTAATGCCCCTAAATGGGGATCAAGTATTCAGACATATGTGCCTTTCAGAGACATTTTGCCATATTCAAATCAATTAGAGCCCCCAGAGTTCAATTAGAAAAGCTTCCAAACTGTCTGTGTGTCCCTGTCCTCCAGGAGTCTGCAATGAGACCTCTGGCTCTTGTGTCTGAGATTAAGGAAAGAAATGAATGTGCCTTTAACAACACTGCCATTCTGTGAAGATATAATATTCTCCCTCTGGGACAAGCATCTCTGCCTAGGAGTTCATCTTAGCTGTCACATTCATGTTTTAGAGCCTAGGAATGGTGAAGTCAATTATGTCTTATTCCCTCAGTTTGAGAGAAACTATAATTTGCATTGTGTTCACAAATTATAACCTGTTCAAAGTGATCTAGGACAGTGCTTAGTGTGGAGATTTTGTGCCTGCTTACCATGGTGGGTTGGTGTAGGTAGACTACGATAGCCTTGGTGGCTAGTTTCCTCAGACAGCCAGGCCAGCAGAGAGGATAAGCCACATCCTGCTATGGGAAATGACATATCTATGGTATACGCTATGAGGAAGAAATGCTGGTATGATGGCCCTCCTTTAGAAGAGAAAGACAAAATTGAGGTATTAAGAATGAGGTAGCTCCTGCCCACTGAGGAAATAGCTCTAGGTGACTCCATCAGGCTCTCAACTGGAGATAGGTTCAGAGCTGCCACCTCCTTCTGGAGAAAATGGTAGAGGGATTCCATTGTAATGGACTACTAATTTAGTTATAAGTAAAATTTTAAAGTTGCTCAAGGAGTATATTAAATATTAAAACCAGGGTAGTGTGTAAGAATGCAGCTCAATGGTACAGTATCTTCTTAGGATGCTTTGAAGGCCTGGGTTACAAACGGGGAGGTGGGGAGAAGAAGAATGCTGGGGCTGGGAAGGTTGAGCTTCCACTAGAAAAACCTGTTAGAAGTACACTAAAATCGGAAGGGGAATCATGGCTAAACCTGTGGAGGGCACTGACATTAAACATGCTGGCTCTGGGCAAACAAATCTCTTCAAGGATCTCTTTCTTCACATGCCTAATGGGGAAAATATCTCCAATTTGCTGATGATTGTGAAAAGTAATCACAAGAATACAGAGAGTACTGTTAAAGATGAAAGATGAAACAAACAGGATTTGTCCTGCCCATGCTAACATGTCCCTTTGGTACCAATCTGGATTTCCAAGACTGGCCATTCGAGAATATCTGCATCAAGCATTCTCACACACTTCCAACTCTGCTATTTGTCACTCTCATGAAGGAAACCTCTGCCTTTTTCATGGATGCTGTTCATCCTCAGAGCTATGTCTGCTCCCTCTCCATAGCTACCAAGTCTACTCCTACACCTCTCAAACTTCATTGCTGCTATTTCTTCTAAGCCAAGATCAAAGTTGAACATTACTGCAAAGGTTTGGGGACAATAAGGATGTTATTGGAGTTATCCTTATCGTATGTATAGCTGTAGCCATGACATGAAATAAATTACTAAAAGTAACAAAACCTGTTATGATGTATGTCACAATAGTAGGTGTTTTCCTTGCCTTTGAAAGTTAGCATATGTTGTAATACAAGCAACAAACAAAAGTACAATAACTTGTGGAAGTAAACAAATAGAACAGTCACAATTTCTGAAGGAAAAAAATGGAATTTTCCTGTGCTAATTCACAAGAAAATGAATCAATTAATTTAAAAGTACATGGTTTTAGCTTTCATTCTTCTAAATTAAAACAAAAAAAGTGAGAGATGGAAACTCTTAAGCTCTCTCAAGGTACAGAGTGAACGCCTACTCCTTAAAAGGGGTGACTAATATATTCAGGACTGCAAACATAGCAGGGTTTTTGTCACCACAAAAGTTGGATATTTTTATCTTTGCACAGTTTGCTAGCTCTTAGCTTTTAAATTTATGATCATCATCATTAATTTCCCATATCAAACCAAGAGAGTGTAATTAGGTGGATTTGTTCTCTAGAAACATGAAAGTATGCACCTGCACCTAAAGGTAGATGACAAGATTCTTGGGTTCATTGTCCCTGGTTAACCGAGCTCCACCCAGTAAATCTACTGTGCCTCCTCTTCAAATGCAGGAATAAATTGGCCATCTTACCTTCCTTGGCACCCAAGAAAATAACCTAAGTCATATATGTCATTTCAGTTTGGAGTACTGGGTATAAAAATGCTACCAACTTAACAGAGTAGAAGGAAGAAAAAATATTGCAATGGAATACTCAGAATCAGTCACATTGAGAATCCCAACCTGACAACTGAGTAATTGAATGAAATCAGTGAATGGACCGTGAGCTATGGAACAGAGATGGTGATCTGGTGATACTGCCCAATGAGGCCAGAGTCTAGCTGGTTTGGTAAGTTGTTCATCTTGGCAGGCAGGCTTTGTGTTAGCTAGCTGCATATCTCAGCAGCAGCAGAAATAGCACATATTTTTAAACATGAATGACAAGCAGATGTGGGGTAGACTTTTCTAATCTAACAGGTATGGCACAGCATTGTGCAGGCTGATCTGAACAGAGACAACCCCTCTCTCATACTGCTCTTTGTCCATAAGCAGCTAACCTTTTGATTCTGAAGGTGTCTCTCTGGGGTTATTAGTCTCATATTGTTACTTGTGCTGAATAAGGTCAAGTTCACACCTTTTTTGACACTAACATCACCTATTGAAATAAATGAGTAAGGAGAGACTTTATTCTTACTCTTCTTTTTCCCCTGAGGTCTTTTCAGGAGTGCATACTGAAAGGCTAGATCTTATAACTGTTTGTGAAGGAAGGAAAGAAAGAAAATCTCATTGCAAGTATGTCACAATGACGTCATAAGAGCCAGTGGTGAAGTTTTACCAGTGGTGAGAGATTCTATAAGAATCTTAACTTTCTGCCACTTTATCAGTGATCATGTAGAACTCTACAAAAGGCCAGAAGACTGCTTTTGGAAATGCACTATCCTTAAGAATACACATTCTATCTCTGTCCTTAATTAGTTGTAGATCTAGTTACTTATTTTCCTGAAGCCAGGTTTCGTCTCTCTTCCATGGTATTTTATCTGTTATCAACTTCTGACAGTAAATTGCAGATAAAATTGTCACCAGGAGGGTTTCTCATCTATACAATATTAAAAAAGTGTCCTCATTTATGAGATTGAGTTTGAAATGCATTTAATTTCTGATATGATAGCTGTGGTTACCTGTACAAGACCTGCACAAGACCAAGCCACCAAAATTCTAGCATAGATAGGATAGATGATCTCTAAGTCCCACCCTTAGCCAAGGAGCTAATGGCATTTGACACTTTCTGGGGAAAGGGGAATCACTCTCTTTGGGAATCTGGCCACTGATAGGTTTTCTATCCAGTGCTTATACAGGCCAAACTAGCTGGATTTGATGGATTATCAAAAAAAAAAAAATTAATGAAGTTGGGGGTAGGGACATAGGTGTTAAAGAGGAAGAATAGAAGTAGATATATGCATGTGTAAAATTCTCAAAAGTAAAAGTAAAAAAAAATACACTTCTCTCATGAAAACAGGTACAAGATATCAACTGATTAAACCGTAATGGTAAAGTGTATTGTCATTGTTTATTCCTCATTGTCTAAATGCTTCTGATAGGAATGGAAAGTGGGAAGCTTGTCCTTTGGGGAAGAGATCTCAATCAGGAACTTTGCACTATTGTTTGCTTCCTCGGTTGATTTCTGGGGGATATAACAATGATACATTTATTTGCTCTATCAGTCAGGCTTCTCTAGCCATATCTACTAAATGTTATAAACTCCTGATTCAGGGATGAGTTGTTCTTTGTCTGGTGCTTCTACTTACTACTTGCTATTTGTTTATTTACATTTGCTTGCTACATACTGAAGAAACCCACTCATAAAATAAGAACTGTAACATGCCAGTGTTTTTAAACACAGAATAGGAAGTCATAGTGACACTAAATAAGCATATTCCTCTATATTCTGTGGCTAAAAGTATTACCTGAAAGGAGACATTGAACTACCTCTGTCCCACTGGAGAGTTGCAGAGTGTAATAAAAGGTAGTAAATGCATTTCTTTTCAAATACTTGGTTTATAAGATGGCTTCTTTCTCCCAGATTTCCAGATGTGGGATACATCTGTCCTTGTTTTCACTTCATGTTGTTTTCTTTTTCTTTTTCAGTGCAACCTAAACCTGTTAATAACTATATTCAGAAAAGCTGCCATGGTTGCCTAGCAACAAAGCTTGGTGGGTTAGAAGGCATCAAGGCAAGCTATCAAATGCAGCCAACACAATCTTGATTTACACTGTCCCCATGCAGATATTCATCCTCTCTGCCTTCTACATGGATTTTTATTTTCAAAACAAAAGTAAATCTTTCAAAGATGTTAGCTCTATGCCATTAGGAGTTTAAAAAATGACAGTACATGGGTAACATTTCAATGTGGTTGAATAAGAATGAGGAAGAAATTGCTTTCTGCTCCTTCTTAATTAAAGCAAGGGTAGTCCTTTTGCTTGTAGGTCATACTGTTCTTTCCACTAGTGCTTTTTATTTCCTCTGCAGGAAGATGGATGCCTTATTCCTGGAATAAGATTGAATGGAAATTGAAGTGTCAACTTTGAGAAATAGAAATTTTAGGCTTAATTATTGCAGGGCATATATTTTTGTGTCTTATACAATGGAGTGAAAATGGAAATGAAGATAATGACTTCTTGTGTTCGGATTCCTCCACCTTCCCATCTTTTTCTACTCAAGCTTTCTCAATTTTCTCCTATATAAAATCCCTTTGAAATTAGGAGTAAGCAAGATCTACAGGATAATGGAAGTAAATGTTGTCTACCTCAGGCAATTCATATACTCTGTAACCAGAAAGGAAGTATTAATTTATATTTTACATATCTTTGTTTAGTAGTTTGTTTGCTTTACAATTCAGTTTTTATTAGGTAAATTCAGTATTTAGAGGAAACGGGACTAAAGGACTTAAATCTTTCTGGAGAATAATGCGAGAGGAAGCAAATCACAGGGACAGTTGAAGAAAACATGAAAAATATGAAAAGGGGAGGAACAGAGCACAGACTGTAAACTCAGTGTTAGCATTTTTTATAGACCTCTTTGGTCAGTAGAGCTTTTGAATCTCATGTGATAGAAAACACTGGTATTTTGTCACTACTTTGCCACTAAATAGCCATTTAAGCCATCTGTTTTCCTTTATCCTTATGCCACAGTGGGCGTAAATTGTGGCTCCTTAAAGAACACTATAGACATTCAGGTTTTATGGAAGATCTCCTAATTTTTAAGTGTTGGCTTCAATATAAACTCGAACACTCAACACTATTGGCCAAGAAGAACTCACCTAGAAGTCAAAATACACTCAAAATAACAATTGTCATCTGTTATTCCCAATGTGAAAGAGGGTTGATGGGGGAAATTCCAAAGAGTTGTTACAAATTAAATATCTGCAAATAAAAGAAAGGGGATCTCAGGGAAGAAAGACAAGAAACCAGGTGTTATTTTGTGTCTGTGATGAAGGTGGGGATTCTGGATGGAGATGAGAGGACCAGTCATTGTTCAGGCATTTGAGAATATAGGAAAGACTTCCTTCATGTAGCTTCATCAATAACAAAGAAACAAGGGACTATAGGAGTGGCATGTGGTTAAGAATATTTCCTGCCCCCTCTCCAGTAGATGTGAATCTGGTTTTCTACACTCACATCAGGGTATTCCCAACCACCTATAGTCCCATTCCAAGGGATCTGAAAGCCTCTTTCTTCTATATACTCACACAAGCACATATGTTTTTTTAAAAGGAGCAGACAAAATAAAAGGTCATAATTAGAGATATGTGTCATGATATCTTACATGTGAATTGCTAGTAAGAAAGTACAAGTCTGTCGATGGCAGGAAAGTCAGGGACAAAGGCTCAACACTCTAGCATCCTGGGTGACACTATGGGTTACCATAATGGTAAACATTATAGTGTTTACCAAGCCAGGTAAAACAATGTTTTTAAAAATCCCAAGAAATACTCCCCAGGCTAATAAGTGGACATTGTGATTTGTGCTGATGGTGCCAGTCATAAATTGTAATCTTATATTAGTTTGTGTGTCTGAATCCCTGCCTCTCTACACAGTTGGAAACAGTGACTGTATTGTGTGTTTCATTTATCACTGAATACCTTGTTCCAAGCATAGTGTAACTCACAGTACCCTGCTCAGCAATCATTTGGTGCCTGAGTTATATGACAGAAAAGCAACTGGGAGGTGATGGTATGGAATGTGATGCCACTGATATTAATAAAATGTGAAATGCCCAGATAAAAGGAACAGGAAATAATCTAGAATTTTTAATAGCAAGCTCATCCCTTCAAATCAATGATAGTAAAAATAATATAACAAGCATCCTTTGGAGCAGGAAGTAAAATGAGGTGAATTGATTCCTTTTTTTTTTTTTTTTTTTTTTTTTGCAACTGCCATGCTTCAATCTGATAAACAAAAATGAGTCAAGTCTAAATAATATTCATCAACATTCCCATGTCTCACACTTCTTGAAAGAATATTATAAAATAGCAAGATTTTTTTTTAATTTGCAGCTGGAAATTGAACCCAGAAGTCCCACATGTTAGCAAGTGCTAAACCACAGGGCTAACATCCCTAACTCAAGTATTTTTTAAATGGAACTCTAGAAGTGAGTTCTTGCATTGCCATTTAGCTTCTTACAAGGTCACTTTCAACAGTTCAGCCATGTTGGGGCCCTAATGAATAGTAAGTTGGATACATGCTTGCTTGCCAAAAACAACTCTCGGCATGCCAAGTGCTGGAGCAGCCAAGTTATAGAAGGCATAACGTATGCTTGACACCTTTGGCTCTTGGCAAAATAAGCCAAGGATATGACTTGACAACTTTTTAGGGTGAACATGTTGTCCCCTATTGCCTAAAAATGTCTTTGGCTCACTGGAGCATATTTGCTGATGTCAGCCAGAAAAAGTACATGAGTTAATATTTGAATATGTTGTGTGTTGCCTTTTAAGTAATATCATTGTCTTTCTATTCTCTCTGCTTTTTCTCCACCACTAAAATAAACATTTTCTGTATTGAAGTAAAAGAAGCTGTTGTCTGATGTGGTTTTAAAATATTAATGTAGTAATTGGTGTCTTTCCAGATTCAGTGTTATACAGATGCAGAAAGATAGACGGGAGTGGATCCCAGAGTGATGGGGATGGGCTAGACATGACACAGAAACAGAGAGGAAGATATGAAGAATCAAAATATCTCTAGCAGGTACACAGACTGCCATGGATTTTTAGAATGAAGTCTGAAAAATAGATATTCCCACTGAATGGGGCCAAAGTCACATAGTACTCCTCAACCATCCTGTCACTCCCCTTATTAGACAAGACTGAGAGACCCTAAGTCATAGGGGTTTATCAGCATGTGGTGACCTATGCATTTATGAGCATTCCTTAAGAGGCAAGGGAATAAAGGTGCTAAACTCAGGAGCAGTCAGAGCTACATAGACTGAAGGGAGGGGAAGAAGAGCGAGGAAGGAAGGAGGGCAGAGGGGAGGGAAGATGGAAGGGCTGGTTTCTTTTATTACATCCTGTGTGTATGTGTTTTGTAATGGATTTTCTAATAATTCTGGGGATGAAAATGTTTGTTTTTCAACACATAAGTAACTGAATTTGTTAGACAATTGAGTGCAGATAGAAAAATAATTGGATATTAGGCTTGCCATTTTAAATAAATCAGATGAAGACAGTTCCTTGGACCAGTTATGTGAAAAAAAAATATGTAGGAAGTCTTAGTTTATACATCCAACTAACAACTATTGAGAAGCTGTCATGTGTACCGAGGAACTGAGGAGGAATAAAGTCCTTTACGAAGGGGTTGACATTCTGAGAGCTTGAGACAACACTAAATACACAGAGCAAGCAACACTGAAGGTAGTGGAGGAGACAAAGTGATAAAGAAGAACGACCGCATCTGTAAGGGGAGTGAATGAACTTCTCTTCCTGTGGGATCTTTCGCCAGATAAGAGATTTTGTTCTGGAAAATGATAATTTTGTGCATGAGTCTCTCATGCACACTCTCAAAGTGACAGTGTTGCTGTTTGCGGGCAATAGCTATGTATTGTATGTCCAAATAGCTTACTTTGTCTTGGGTAGTACAGCTTTACTTTAATGCTTCATCTTTGAAATTCTAGAATTTTCCTATTAAGAGTGTATGTGGGGTGTGTGTGTATGTGTGTGTGTGTGTGTGTGTGTGTGTGTGTGTGTGTGTGTGCAAGCTGAGGTTCAAGAGGCATCTTAAGTGTCCTGCTCTCTCACTCTCTCCTTGTTCCTTTGAGACAGGATCTCTGATTGAACCTGGAACTAGGCTGGCTGCCAGCAAGCTCAAGGAAGCCTGTATCTCTGCTACATATAAGACCAGAGTTACAGGCAACCATGGCCATGCCTTATTGTTTACATGGGTGCTGGAAGTCAAACTGTGGAAGCAGAGCAAGCACTCACCCCCACAAAACCTCTCCAGCCCCACACATTGTCCTCTTTAAAATTAAGTCTACACTAATGCTAATACTTCAGTTTATTCTGCTGGAAAACCAAAGAAAGCATGTGATGGAAAAAATTTCAAAATTAAGTTACTTATATAAAATAAGGGAGGTATTTGTTCAGTAAGCCTTTTCTTTATATTCTTATCTCATTTTTGTTTTCAACTATACTTCTTATTTTTAGTATGTAATAGCTATTATTTTGTTAAATGATATATTCTAAATAAGATAAAATCATGACTTTAGCTTAGCACAAAAGTCAAAAGTTATCAAAATGTACATTGAAAAACTATTATGCAAATAGAACAAACATATATAAAAAGCAAATTGTTTCCTTTCACAAATGTATTCCTTAGAGGGAAAATCACTTTTAGAAGGACTTATATATTAAGTCATGTGGCTATCAGAACAGACTTGGGTATTGTGCTTAACACCCTACTTAGGAACTTATTAACTTTGTATTATGAAAAATGAAAAGTTTGTAACATACCAATATACAGTAGTTTTTCTTATTTATATACATTGCACTCTGTTCTGGAACTGATTAATCAATGTTTATGATGCAATTATGAACATATAATTTAAAAGCTAATTCCTCACAGGAAAGAAAATTCTCCAATATCCTTAAAAATCAACACTCAAATTGATGCTTCCATATCTCCAAGTCAGCACTGACTTCTATTTTCTGTTATATTCCTATGCCCTAGGTCACATTTCGCTGGTGGAGGTTTGAGTTGTTGATTCATTAGCTTTTGTTTTGTTGGGACAGCTTTAATGTTATCCATACATATATGGCATTTAGTAAACTTTCTAAATCTTTGCTCTTCTCTTTTATTCATGTTATGCAGAATTCTTATTGATAGGAAATTTCACTTTCAGAATGTATTTTACACTCAAGAGTTTTCCTCATTATCTTTCTTTCATTATGCTCAGTTAATGATAAGAAATACCAACCTATGGTTTGTAGATAATTTTTCTTTTTTTTACTTCTGGTTTTTTTTTTCTATTTGCCAACTTTATAGCTAAAAATTAATGAAA